ATTCAGTATATTTTTACCGAGTTGGGACCAGAAAAAACTATTAGTTAAGCGAGGTTATTAATTTATCAAGTATTAATTTATTGAGGTTCTATTGTATTGTGCTAATTAATAAGAAACATCCAATTGTCTGTGTTGCACTATCAAGCCCTTCAATTACCTCCTAAATTTCATTTTACTCCTACTACACCTTTTTTTTAAGTAAAAAAGTATTTCCTTCTTTGTTTTCAACAATAATTCTCTTCTATTTTCATCATTTTACAAACTCACATTATGTTTTTCTGATTTATATATCCTTTTTTTTTTCTTTCTCATTTTTCGTAATAAATAAAAATAAATTCGTAAAAATAAAATATAACTAGAAACAACAACAAAAATACAGTGTTTTAATTTTTTTTTATCTTAAATTTCTACAAATAAATTAATTTTTAAAATGTCATCAACTTAATTTAAATTTTAGGTATTTTATTTTTTTAAGTATAACTAATTATTCACCTATCGTAAGAAAAATTATCTAGTAAAAAAATATCTCACTCTAATTTTTATTGATAATTTATATTTTATTTATAATAAATACCATATAAATGACAAATGATATTAAAATACTAAGAAAAATGTAAAATAAAAAAATGAGCAAAACTACAAAATAAAAGTGAGCATAAATTTTAAATATGTGAGTAAAAAAAAATTCTGAAATCAAAAAGTTCAAGTTTGTAAAATATGAAAGTACAAATTATCTATTTTAGTAAAACAGAGGAGTAGCTTGGCATAATAAATAAAAGAGACTAAAGGGTATAATAGATGGTGTAAGATGGAACATAAGGAGTAATTCAAGGTTTTTATAGTACAAAGGGAGATGAGTGAATGTTTTATCCCTACAAAAATCCACTCGTCTAGTAATCAAGGGAGTGTTTGCAATTCTTTTTTTTTTTTTTTTTTTTGAAAATTGATCATGAGCTTTTTTTTTATAGCTCATAATCAATTTTTAAGTATTTGCAAGACTAAAGTATTTACAAGACTAACTTTTTTATTTTTGCTTCTTTAAAAAAATATTTTAAGCTATAATTTCAAAAGTATTTATAAGGTAGTTTTTGTGATTTAAAAACACTTCTACAGATATCTACTAATTACTTTTTACATTCATACCCTTATTTTTTTATCTGGATTTTTTTTATATGTATGGATTTTAGATATCTCACACAAATGAGCCGAAAATTAAAACTGATTTGCAAACACCTACAATTTTTAAATTGACTGTTTGATGTTAATTTTGTAAAGAATTTGCAAACAGGCCAATTATATTTTTACATTCACACCCCTATTATTTTTATCTGAATCTTTGTTATATAGATATTTTTGATATTTCACCTAAATAAGCTAAAACTTAAAGTTGATTTGCAAACACATAGCTTTTAAATTGACTGCTTAAGGTTGATTTTCTTTGAAGGATTCGGAAACACCAACCAGCAACTCTTGGAAATAAATACTTATTTTTCAATTTTACTCAAATCACGTGACTTCTACTTATTCAATTTTTTTTACAAACAACACCTTAATCAAATGAAAAAGTGCTAATAGCTATCAATAGGTAAATTGTATTTTGCACTTGACATTATGAATGGGATGAGAATCAATATGGCTGATGGTCTCTGACAAATACCCGCCAACATATTTTGGCGTTAGATTAGGAGTTGTAAATGAGTCCAACTTGATAAGTCGTTTCGACAAAAGTTTTCGAACTCGAGTTCATCCTTAATTGTTGATAAGATTACGAGCCAGCTCGCAAACTTTTTTATATTTTTCTGTCTTTGTAATTTACAGATAATAATAAAATATGTAATAAAATTGTGTTTAAAAAAATTGGCACATTACAAATAAGTCCATCAAGGGATACTTATTCATTAAGGGGTTCAGACAAATTTACAATAAAGTCCACACATTGACCCCAATTTTGAGTACAATTTCGCCCATCGCCGTCGTTGACTTTTTTTTTTTAATATTTTTTTTTTTGTGTTTAACATCTTTTTGCCCCGTGTAAACAACAATATTGATGTGGTTGACAGTCATATTAACTATATTACTGTTAAACACAATAATATTAACTATAATACAGAACACAGTAATATTGTTATATTAATCTCTAGCACATAAATATTAGTGTAAAAGGCAGTTTGCCCCCTAAACTAAGGGCCGATTTGCATTTTACCCCCAAACAAAAAAAAATTGCACTTTTTTACCTGAACTTGATAATTCGTTGCACGGTGCTACGGCTGAACTCAATTTTCCGGCAATTTTGACCGGAAAGTTAAAACATGTGCCTTGCACGTGACATCTGCAGGGATATATTCGTCATTTCACTTACATGCTGTATATTAAATGCCTAAATATAAATTAATCTTAAAAAAAAAAAAAAGAGAAAAAAAAAAAATTGTCTTCGTTTTCCCTTCACCCACCAGTGCCACCACCATCCCAAACCCATCCCAGCCAAAAATTCCGTCAGCCATCGGCCGCCGGCAGCAAATCATCTCCACCTCCACACCTTCCCCACCTTGATTCCACCTCTAAACTAATTTCAATCTGTTGCCGTCACCTACCTCGTTTCATCCTTAGTCCGCCGACCGAGTCTTCGGATCATAGAAGTAAAAAAAGATCTCCCCAATTTTTCTTTCTAAGAAATCACCATCTCCGTCTATGCTCCTCCGACGTGAAAGATCCCAGCTATTTTTGGGTATTTTTACTTTTTATGATTTAAGTATAATATAAAGTAGAATTTAAATTGATAATTGAGATAGAAATTGGGGAAGGAAATTAGAGAAGAAGAAACTTGGGGAAGAAGAAGAATACAGAGATAAGAGAGATTCTGAAGATGATGACGACAAAGTGAACTAGGTTTTTGCTGGGAATGTGGGAGGGCGATTACTGTTGGTGGTGAGATGGGTTTTTGGAAGACGATGAAGAAGAAAACAATTTAAAAAACAAAAGACGATGATTTGGCTTGGGTTTGGGGGCTGGTGAGTTACAGCTTTTCTTTCTTTTTCTTTTTTGTTTTTGTTTTTTTTTTTTTTTTGTCTTTTTTTTAATATTTAATTTATTTAATCGATTAATTTATATTTAGTATATATGATGTATGTGAATGGACAAATTTATCCCTGCAAATCTCACATGCACTGCACATGTTTTAGAATTCCGGTCAAAATTGCCGGAAAATGTAGTTCAGGGAACTGTGCAACGTATAAACGAGTTCAGTAAAAACGTGCAAATTTTTTTTGTTTGGGGGGCAAAGTGCAAAACAGCCCATAGTTTAGGGGGTAAACTGCTTTTTACTCTAAATATTAACACAACCAAAGTCATTATTATTGTGTAATAGAGTAATATTAATATGTTGACCGTTCAATGAAGGTAAACATAATTAAACGCCAAAAGAATTAATATTGATGTGGTTGACAATAATATTACTGTCATCCGCAGTAATATTACTGTCATCCGCAGTAATATTACTGTAACAACAGTAATATTACCGTCAACCACATTAATATTATTGTGTTTACAATAATATTACAATAGTAGACATTAATATTAATACGTTAATACATCAACAACTAAAACAAAATAAAAAAGCCAAAAAAAAAAATAATATTAATGTGGTTGACATAAATATTATTGTATTTACAGTTATTTTACCGTCAACGACAGTAATATAATTATTTTGACTTGTCAACACATCAAACAAAATAAAATAAAAAAAACCAAAAAATTAATAATATTGTGGACGGTACAATTACATAAATGTACCGTCAACGAAAGTAAAATTACTGTCAGCGACGGTATAATTACTGTTAATGACAGTATAATTGCGTTAAACGTTTAGGGGCGGGGTAAAAAAAACGGATAAAAAATTTAGGAAAAAAACAATTGAAAAAATCAACGCCAGAAAACGGCGGCAAAAAAATAATTTCAGAAAAAAAAAGTTAAAAAAAAATCAAAATGAAATTTTTGTGATCAAAATTAATTAAATTAAGGTTACAATTAAGAATTGAGTGTAAATGGATGTGGGTAATTTTGTTATATACATTAATTTTTCATTTATTAATATTTTATAATACATATTAAAGGGCGGACTTATTAGAGAAAGAAATATAATCCCAAAACCTAGAATAATAAAGATGGTTAATCAAGAACTTATGCACAAAAATCCCTAAAATAATAACAATAACAACTAAAAGAAAACAACAACAACAACAACAACAACAACAACAAAGCAAATTTAGAGCAATTCTTGAATCGTATACATAAGTTTATTTCTCGTGGAGTAGATGTATCTTGAAAATTCTCAAATATATCTATATCCATGATATCCATTGGCAAATGTTAGATTATATTCAACATAAACATAACTTCATAAAGCAACCGATCTCAAATGAAATAATTAATCGTGATTATATCTATAGCAGATGAATTGACAAAAGGTCAATTCATAGTCAGAATATTGCATTATTAATCGTCAAGACACGAGTTTATCAAATTTTGAGCATAACTTGAAATACTGTCTACTGTAGGTACTCATTTTTCTGGGTTTGTGAAACTTTCTTATATCAAATTGTTCCATCATTTTTGTGTTTTTAACCACAAAAACCACCAAACAACAATGCACGATTAAAAATAAAAAATTAGAAAAATGACATCTGTTTACTAAAAGCTGTCCTGTATTTATCATTTCAAGAATTAAAAACATATGAGAAATGTATTGAATGAATATGTTTGTATTACTTTACACAAACAGGTCGGAAAAAAATAATTGCTTTTGCATTTTATTCACGAGTTCTAAAGTCAATATCGAGTTCATTGTTCTTGCAAACCGGAGTGCTCCTATCTCAAGAGACACCATTGTATTTTGGAAGATGAGGGCAATTTCATCTTAGAACAAATAATTAAACTCTTTCTTTGTTTGCATCAAGAAAAAAAGTTTCGACTATTTCTGAGAGGAAGAACAATCTCCGGAATGTTAAAAGAAAATATTTACACCTGGCAAAAGTGGCAAAAGTACTGTTAATTTTATTTTCTGGAGTCTAACTCGTACAATAAAATAACTCGTGTGATTTTGAAGATCAATTTACACCGTATAGTTGCTAGAGTAAAGGGAACAACCTAAATACAAAACGATGTTATAAAAAATAACGAAGATATAATTTTAACTTCTGCTATCAAGTGTAAGAGTGTAGAGTAGTAGAAAACAGCTCGTTTCAATCTCGAGTATGCAGCAGATTTAGATCATCCGTTAAGAAGGGAAGTGTCCTGTTCAATTTCTTTCCGGGAAGCTTCCCAAAGCCGTTGCTTGATTCCCAATTTCCTAATCTCCATTAGACCTTGCTCAACTGCATTATAAGATAGTCTCTTTTAGTGTCACTACAAGATTAAAAATAAATAAAAATGGAGATAAAATTTGCAAAATGAGGGATTAACATTATTAAATTTAGAACTGAAGCATAATGATGAGAAGAATTAGCTTCAAATAATTATGTATAAAATAGATACACACATGGACGTTTTCTTCTGGAAACAGTACACTAAAGAACTCACCATCGACTGCGTCATGCGAAGTTGGTGACTGGCCGCTGCGGCCGATCCAGAATTTCAGTCTCTCGTTTGCAATTTCCTCTTCTATACCGTAAGCTTTAGCTCTTCTCCAAAAGTACATAAGCCATGCCTATGTTAAAAATTGGAAACCAATGGAATTCAATAAAACATATATACCATATTTTGACTTGTAAAAGTCGTAACAACATTACTAGGACAGAGTCACGAGTGATACCGATAAATGCTTAATAGTACTTAACAACATGATCGTTTATTTAATAAAGATATTGATGTGACAACTGGCAAGTAGTTCAAATGCTTAATTCATAATTATATATTTTAACATGAATCACAAGGAACTGCAGAATAAGATTAGAAAACAATGAAGTGAGCCAGATGGAAAAACCTCCTTAAACAGGACATCCTCAGATTCCTCTGGGCTAAGTTCTGCAAAAACACAAACAGAAACAAGGAAAATAATTTATTCTGAGATGCATTCATTCATACAAGTGAATCAACGACAACTATTGGCCAAGTATCTATCTTACCTTTAAAAGCATTAATGTTATATGCTAAAATATGAATTAATTACGGTTAATTAGGTAAACTGTGGTTGATGTCACAAGTAATTCATTATAATCTCCATCTTTGTATCATCATTTCAACTTTAAAGGGTTAGAATAATTTGTATTGTTTATATTTTTATAAAAATAATTACTAAAATTATACAAACCGCATGCAAATTGCAAGTCAACAAAATGATTCTTAGATCACGATATAAAAAATAGGTTATGTTCTAGTTCGCACTTCCCAACATCATGCTCCTTGTCAAAACTTAAAAGGTCAAGTTAATTTCTCGAAATGCGGTTAATGGGCATTACAGCTGAAAACGTGAAATACGGGTAGAAAAACAAAGTAAAACAGTTATGTATAATTGATTTTAAACATAAAATGCACTTATTAATATTATGGAATATAGTTTAGAAAGTAAACTGTAAATTAGAAATTTGAATCTCAAGGGAAGTTGGTATAAACTAGCTAAATCTGCAAGGCAACTTCAGGGATGGTTTTACTAAATTCAGATTAAACCTCAAGGAAGGTCAAGTGATTGAACCTGAGCGTAATTGGTCCAAGTGAAAGCACGGTCAACAAGAGGGTAAAATTGGATTTTCATTGAATATTTGATAATGCCATGTAAATGTCTCTTGTCCGTACGAAAACATATAACTCGGCTAATTTGTTAGACGGTGACAAACAACAGTACACTCATAATTATCCAACTCGAGGGTCTGTGTATTTATACCAAATAAGGTCTTCGTAATTATCCCAAAATAACCTTAAAGAAAATGCAGGATATGAGATAAACGAATCTTACCAAATGCTTCCATATACTTCGGATCAATTGGTGATTTGAAGTCTGCCAAAACATGTAGTTTAGAAAGTGAAACTAATAATAATAACAAAAAAAAAACACACGAACCTATAGGTTTTAATGTAATCGCTATAGTATATGTGCTATATGTGAGACTTAAGTAAGATATAAACAAATACTCAAGAATACCATGCTTTATATAAGCTTATGAAAGTGAAGCTGGATTATATAACAAGTCATAGGGTAATTTCACAAAGACATCACCCCGAGGTAACATCACTTTAAGGTTGGATATACGCCCTGGTATTTTGAATGTCAAATGGCACAATTGAATATTTCGTAATGCAAGAAAGTTAAAACCATGAATGTATCTAGTTTTCAAGAAGACTGATTAAATTCATAACAAAGCTTTCCATGAAGTAAAGAGCTTGAATGACTATTTCAAGAAATTTGAAGAGGAAGTTTTTTGAGAACGACAGGTGCTTTGACTTCTACGGAAAAATCTTTAAGCAATTAGATTTGTTCATTCGAACACAATCATCCAAAAGAACAAGTAAAACTCGGGACTTTGGCAGTGAAGATGCTTTGAAATAGATTAGACCGTATTAAGCAAACAAGACTGTTAATTGAAATAGACTTTTTCATCATTCCAGCAAATTATGACCGAGATAAATTGAGAACGAACCTGGCATGGATGTCCTTGAAGAATTTGGACGTCTTTGTTGAGCAAATGCCAGAACCATAGATTCTTCAACCTAAATGATGAGAAAAAGAAAAATTAAACCATCCAATTAACCACCAACGCCGAAACGTGTATAGGACAATGCAACTGCAAGGCTTCATTCCAAATTTAGGCATGAATCAGATTTGGAAGAAAGACGAAAAATTCTCCTCTAAGCAACCATGCTTGATAAAATACACTCCTTTTGTCATATACAATGACTACCATTTGACTGGGGCCGGAATTTAGAGAACTAATGAAAAACTGAAAAGTTTGAACCTTTTTAAAGTATTTTCCTAAGTAGTGGAATAATTTGTATTAACAGAGGGTATATAAGTCCACTTTAAGAAATCAACAGGTATCCAATAAGAATAAACAATATATGTGTTAAAACATCTTTGAAAGGAAAACCTTCAAGGAAGCTAGTTCTTTTAAGCCCATTTCAACTGTTAGCATGCTCTCAATATTTCCGTCTCCAGTAAGATCATTAAAGTCGTCAACAAGTTTACTCCTTTGCGGATGGTTTTCACCTGCACAGTGCCAGAAAGAGCGACCATTGTTAGATTTGTTACTAGATAAAGCATGAAATAAAATCAACTTAAATTGCTATTAGAACTATAACTAGCCTTTGTTCCAGCACTCTTCCTTAGCCTTCTGTCCAGCAGATAGAACAATTTCTAAAGGAAGAGGTGCCAAAGATGACCAATATTCGTGCTTTGCAGAGGCAATATCCGCACATATGCCTGCATGGACCAAAAATGCTGTGATGAAGACAAGACTGGTTTAACGATGCAGAATAAAATTGTCAAGACACAGAATAAACTATAGGCATTATATCTTCATTTGAAGCAATGGCCTGGGTTGAATTGGCACCAAATTTCAGTTGAGAGTTGAGGAAATGCATAAAAAATGACACTCATTTTTTATCGCAGGGGATTAGCTGAAGAGTTTTTTACATCAGAGCATGTATTTCACGGATCAACATTTTAGGTATGTGTCTTTTAGGAAAGAGGTGGTATTCTTAGGCCTCGTTTGGTTGCCAAGATATGATTAGCCAAGATAAGATCAAATAACCGAATGAAAACCCAATTGTTTTATCGGACCCCGGAAGCTGCAACAAAAAGCTCTCTAAAAGGCATGATAACATAATATTTTTGGGTCGACCAGGGAAGTTATTGGGGTTACCAAACATCGAACAAGTCCAATTATTTAGTTAATAATGGCTAATTTATCCAACCAAATGAGGCCTTAGACAACAAAAACAATATAGGGGGACGCTTGGTCCTGGACAGGGTACATATAAGTCTTCTAGCAAGTTTAAGAATAGTACTTTATGAATAACAATACCACATACCAAAAATTATAACAAAAGTGGATAAAAACCACAAAAGAAAACGAATAAAAAAATGATGATATAACGTTAGGACTATTTATTCCCTAACTTCAAATCTTCAAACATTTCAGGTTCTATTAATTAAAGTTAGCCATCTATTGTTATAAGTGCAGGAATAATGAATATATCAAGCTAAAAGCATTCAGTATTGAAAAAAACTTAACTGATCGATAAGAATACAGAAAAATTTAATTCATCGTTTTATATGTCCATTGATTTACTTTGATCGTGTGTCCTTGAAAAATAGAGCAATTTTTTTTTTTTTTCACATAAAAGCAATAAACACATTTTGGATAATATTATTACCATATTGAGCAGCTAAGCCCCAGTATCTTGCCAGCCAGCACCTTTTAAGAACAACTTCTTCCTGAAAATATAAGGTTTTTTTTCCGTAAAGCAACTCTACGTACAACAGTAGCAGAAACTTAACAATTATCCATACGCACGGTATGCAAGAGTTTCCACCCACCATTTCATTTTGGGTCAACACCATTCTTTGTGTCATAGAGCGAAGAGCTTTGACTTCAGACTCAGTTTCACGTAGTTGTTCAAAAGTAGTTGCAGCCTCAGCTTTAGCAATCTTAAATAATCAAAAATGACACATAGTTAAATGCTGTATATTGCAGAAGTACTTATAAACAAGTCCCAGTTCATCTTACTCACCTTTACATCAGATTGCAATGATGACAAGTCCACATCTACCCCATCTTTAGCTAGCTTAGCCTCTTTAAGTGCAGCCTATACCAATTTTATCATCAATAAAATTGTAGAAGTACAAAACAATCTTTGCTATCAGATGAATCTCTAGGTGACTGATAACTATTTTCACTATTTTACGTTCTCCCTCTATAATTCTCAAATCGAAGTATCTCAATGGTTCTACCACAGAGGATGAAATGTTCTACTTCGTTTAATTAGTGAGTACAAATAAAAACAAGGATTACTTCTCTTTGACGAAGTGCAGCTTCCTTCCTGCAAAGGTTTATATGGGATTTTAGCATACTCAAAATTTATGACGAGGACACAAAATGAAGGTCTTAGTTCCTTTTAATGTACCTGCTCAACAGTTTAGCTTCCAACGATACTCCTTCTCCAAGAGAAGCAACCTATAATATCAAGCAACTCAATACCAAACCATGTTGCTAAAATACCAGGTTAAACCAAGAAAAGTGGCATGAATGAGATATGAAACTTTGTTAAGGAGAGCAAAACGAAGGCCGACCAGTCACTTGGAAAAAGACAGAAAAGTTCCGTGGACTTAGTTTCAGGCAGTATAATTTAGTTCGATGCATACGGATGAGCAGCAATAGCCTTAACAAGGATACAAATGGAACCAGAAGTGCGATGAAAGTTTAAGTGTTTCTTAGTAGAGAAAATAACAGTTGATAGAGTACACAAATGCATGGCGAAAGCAGGTTCGTCTACAAGCAGAATCTTATATTATTTATGATTAAAAATATTAGTAGATAAATGAAGAGTCAAAGACACGTGCATTTGTTCCATTTGCAAGTACAGTTGTATGACTGACTGAAACATAATAAGTACGTGCCCCGTGCATTTTCGTCACATAGTTTTATAGTCTTATTATTCTGGACTATCAGTATTTTCATTCCAGAAAACTGACGAATATTTTAGGGTAAAATGATTCAAAAATGGTCAAATAGAACTATTCATTTTAAAACACAAGGAGCTTGTAAGTGCATAAATTTCATCTTATGACTGAAATATATACAAAAATTTGATCCTCACCAGAGTAGGGATGTTAACACCTCTTACTGTTTATTACATGAACTAGTTGAAAACTTTGTGGATGTGATTACGTGAAATAGGTGTGTGGATAGGCGTTGTATGAGAGAGGAATCAAAATCAAAATGCATACAACTTTTCAGGGTTTCTAGAATAGAATTGCAGTGGTTAACCTGTTTCTCAAGCTCCCTGACTCTTGCTTCGGCTGCTACACAACTCTCCTCTGCAAGTTGGAGCTGTGAGATCAAAATCAGACACCAAAAATAAAAATACATTTTGTGGAGCATATAGTGAAAATGGAGAACAATGCAAAGGATGAAGGAGAGACAGACCTTTTCAAGAACATTCTCATTTTCTTCTTGTAACATATCGAGCTGTCAAGAAAGTAGATTTTAGCTAGAGAAGATAAGCAAATAAACTCTTTCAACAGCATACTGTTCAAACACTTCCCCAAACTTTTAGGTATAAACTACATACTTCATCACGAAGTGCAGAAGAAGAACGCCCGTCTCCCGCATCTTTAAAATTCAACTGTCCAAAATCGGGTGAGAACCTGTTTTTCACATGGATGCCTTGTTAGTTCATATAAAGTCAAATGTACAATTGCAATTATATAATGAGCCATTGCATGGCATAAAATTATGCAAGCATTGGCCCATATTTGTACATGCGGCGGCAATAAAGAAATAGATCGAACCAAACATGTGTTATCCTTCAAAGGGCCAAAATGACATTCTATAGAACATATTTTATTTAAATAGAAAAGAATCATATCGGGAGTTAAAATAACAATCAAGAAATAGGATTTTCGGGATAATAAAGAAATTCAACTTAAATCCACACATATAGTTCATGCATTATATTAACTGCCGCATTCAAACTCTTGGCAAGCAAACAAAATGAATGCTAAGGATGCAGTTTTGTTTGAAAACAACGTAATTCCATTTTGATTTTCCGAAAAAATTGGAAAGACTGAAACAGTCGAGGGATAGAATTGGAGTACTTTTTTTCTCTTTGCCTGTTGTTAGGAGGAACGATTGGTGGAATAGGCGCAGGCGTTTTCAGTGAAGGTATACTTGGAGGTACAGCTGGCGTTGTTCTGATTGACATCGAAGGCCTCCCTGTTGAAGTCGAGCGAGCTGGTAGAGCATCATCCAGTAAGTTGCGAGTCACCTAATCAACATATGTAACCGATAAGGAGAAGACAAAAATCCTTATTAGACTTCAGATTATGCTTCATCCACAATGAATTAGTTGCAGGCTACATACACAAACAACTAACTTAAGATTTACTTACCAAATCTCACTAATTTGTTCTGTTTTTTAGAATTAGGTTTGTCAGACACAAAACATATCATTTACCCTAATCACATTGCAATAATTCATCTTAGGAAACATCAAATTCACAATAATACTATTCACTGCCAAATCCGTGCACAGATTATTAGCATAGAACATACAGCTAATTACGCAATTTACTGCCGGAGAACAAAAATTCAACTTTAATTTCAAATTACAAAATCAATTAAGTAAATCCCAATATGAAATACATCGCAAGAGAAGATAAGAGTTACCGCATCAGAAGAAGATCTAAGAATCTTAGGAGGAGGAACCAGAGGCTTAACGCCGTTAGTGTTGATGGGCGGCCTGGAGAAAGACAGAGGAAGAGGAGGATTGAATCGGAGTCCTAAATCGCCGTCACTGTCACCAATGTCGTCGTCATCATCGTCGTCATCCGCCGCCGATTGGGAAGCCATGACCTGAGCGAGCCGCTGAGCCGCGGCTTTAGCCGCGAAGTTCTGATTGCGCTTGATTGTCGAAATGCCGCTCACGGAAGACGCACGCGCGTGGTGCCCACGCACCGGCGATCCGCCGCCGCCGGAGTCACTGCCCCACTGCCGCATTTTCTCCATGTGCCCTCCGAAAAAATGAAAACCCGAAAAATGTGGGGTTTGAATAATCGGAGAAAGGGGGAGACTGCTGTTGTTGGTAGTGTGCCTAGATCTTCGTCTGAAAAAATGGCGATGTTTTTTTTTTTGGAGTCACCGAAAGTTTGCAGATGTAATTTGTAGAATTGTTGTTGAAGAAAATGCTATTTAAAGTACGTGATTCTTTGCATTAACATGATAATTAAGGAGTAATTAATATAATGTACCACTAATTATAGCGAATAACCCACACTTTTGTATAGTATCATGCCCTTGATTATTCATAACAACTAGGGGTGGTTTTTTTTTACCAAATTGCCCTACCAACCCGTTGCCCTACCGAGCCCTACCGATTCTCTACCGAAATATTTCTACCGAATTATTACCGTACCCTACCGAAATGTTTTGGTAGGGCAACGGCACTCAATATTATTAAAATGGTATATTGCCCTACCGTACCGACATATCATTAATAAATAAAATTTTATTTTAATAATTCATTTATCATATTTAAAAAGTTAATATAGTATCCTAATTAACTAGTATTAGTTAAAATTAATTAAACTCTTTAGATATGTCAAAACTATTTTAAGTTGCTTTCATTAATAATGATATAATTGATGTAAAAAGAAATTTATGTTATAATTTTATTTAAGAAATATTTTATATTTGGTAAATTAAGAACATATATTTAGAATACTTATATTTTAAAAAAACTAGTTTTGTACATTTTAAACATGTATACCTTGAATTGCTTTGAAAAAATGATATTCAATTTGGACTTAAATAGTAGATAACATAAATTGGTAATTATCATTACCGTACCCTACCGTACCAAACTTTTGGTATACCGAATTTCGGTATACCGACATTTTTGGTAGGGCAATGGTAATGGATTTTATAATACGAAAGTTCGGTAGTGGTAGTGATTCGACGGGTTTGGTACGGTTGCCCTACCAAACTCACCCCTAATAACAACTACTCCCTCTCTTCCCATAATAACTGTCTCTGTTTTAAAATATTTTTGTTTCATATTATCTGTCACTTTAGATTTCCAATACTGTATTAAATGCACTTTTTTCTATTTTAACCTTATTAATTCAACTATAAGTATTAACTCTCTCTTATCACATCATTAAATAATCAAGGTTATTTTAGTCTTTCTAATATATTTTACCTAAAATCAAGACACATTTATTGAGCTTCTTAATCCTTGTGCAAAGCCAAAAACGACATTTAATAGGGAACGGAAGGAGTACTAATTAATGAGTTTAATTGTTTCACTTATTTGACTTTTGACTTGTCAATTTATTTATTTTTTAAAAATTTAAATAAATAATTGTCAACTTAAAGACTTTCGGATCCAAATCTTTCTTTGAACATCAAATGGGTGGAGGTTGAGAGTTAAACCATCTCCAACAGATTTATAATTGTATATTTGTAATATAATAGGTGAATTTTTAAGAATATCTTCAACAAGGTAATGTATAATTGTATATATACAACTAGTCTTCACGCGTGCATTGCACGGGGTATTTATTATAAAAATGAATATTTAATTTTATAAGAGTTTAAATTCTCACCGGATGAGTTGATTATGTACAATAATCGGATTCCATTCATATTATGCCACGTGGATGATTTAATTAACAAACTCTAAATCTAATTAAACTAAATTAAATTACCATAGTTGTAAATTTAGGGTTAACACTAACATTCAAAAAATGG